GAAAATGGTGTTTCATATTTATTTAATAAATATTTTACTCCAAAAATATTTAATTTGAATGCAACTTAATAAAAAAAGTAAAAAAAATTAAATGTTTTTTTAGATCATAGCAATGAAAAATGAAAATCACTAATAATAATTTGAAATAWGTTTTTATTTTAATTTTAGTTAAGTCATCAAGATGATGTGGCATCCACATTACCTCATTAAAACCACACAAGCAAAAAAGTTAAAGGATTAACTGGTTGAAAATGTAACAAGTTACACATTGCTATTATGGATAAATTTTTTAAAGTACAATGCCTTAATAGAAAATAATTTGAAAGTACATTGTTGTAATAAAGAAAAACAAAAGTAGAATGCTATAATAAGAAATTTTATGAAAGTAGGTTGCTATTTCATGCATTTAACCCTATATGATATATGTAAAGATTCTGTTATAATCTGGTATATGGTGGAATCCTTACACAGAAGCATTATATATGTGTAAGGATATTTTTTTTATCGAAAACCAATCCTTACACATATATACAAGCCTTCTATATAAAAATTAATTAAAAATTAAATTTAAATAAAAAATAACTTAAAAATAAAACGATCCATCAACCTTTACTATTTATATAAATTTCCCCCAATTTTTTGAAAAACGACTTTATCATGCATATCATAGGAGTGCCCTTTCTTCTAAGGGTGCGTTTGGTTTGCAGGAATGTTTTTGAGGGATTTGGATTCCATGAGATTTGGATTGGATTGGATTTAAAATCCATTCGTGTGTTTGGTTTGCAGGATTTGGATTGGATTTGAAATCCATTCCACAGTCAGGCAAATCTACAGACGATGATAGAAACCTAATAACATATGCAACTCCACAAACGATGATTGAAATAACATATGCAAATCTACAGACGATGATTGAAACCTAATAACATATGCAAATCTACAGACGATGATTGAAACCTAATAACATATGCAAATCTACAGACACAACGAGGGCAGATATATGTTCGTACATTGAAAAATAAATAGGATGCATATTTGGGAAGGAGACATGTTAATCTTCAAACGAGGGCAGATATATGTTCTTACGTGCTGATTGATGAGAGAAGGCGGAGAAGAGGAGGAGAGAGCATCGGCGATTGCAATGACGAGAGAAGGCGAGAGCAGTGGGGAAGCGGCGCGAGCAGTGGGGAAGCGGCGCGAGAAGTGGGGAAGCGGACGAAGAGGAGAAGAGGAGGAGAGCACCGGCAGCGGCGAGGGCAGTGGGGAGGTGGAGGGGAAACCGGCGAGAGCAGTGGGGAGGTGGGGAAAGCGAGGATTGCATTAGGGCATGAAGCGTCGAAGAAGAAATAGTTTGCCCGGATTCTAAATCCAGCCTTTTTCCAAAGGATTTTCAAATCCCTTGTTTACGGGATTTTAAGGGATTCCCGGGATTTCAAATCCTGATGACTTAGCAAACCAAACATGGGATTGGAATGAATTTGAAATCCAAATCCTCCAAAATCCATTACATTCCCGCAAACCAAACGCACCCTAAGAGTTTACCACAACTAAAGACCACCTTTGAAGTTTTATAATATAATAAAAGGGTATATATGTAATGCAACGAGATATATCTTGATTTTATTTTATTATTTATCTCAGTGGATGTTATAATATGATTTTATGTGATTTTGAGAAAACGATTATGTTTTTATTTTTGAATAAAATATAAGTTTGAAAATATAATAAAAATTTGACAAAAATATATCGATATTAGTATCAAATTAACTATTTAAAATTCCTTATTTTTTGTGTAATTTTTTAATTCAATTTT